GAGGGGAGGGGAGGGGAGGAGAGCGAGCAAAAAGACACGATCTACGAACTGCATATCCCATGTCGGATACCAACTCGTCATCCATGGCCACCCAGCGTCTTAGTGGTCCTGTAGGCTGCCCCCATGGATCCCTGATCCTAGGTACACATACGACGCTCCCGTCGAAAGCCACACTCCTCATCCGTGCTTTGGAGTCGCTGTCACCGGTTGGGGATGGCCATCTCCCCCATCCCACCGTCTTTCCTTTCTTTTAGGCTCTTTACCGCCGGCAGCCTACCTACCTACCCCTCCCTCCCTCCCTCCCGCCTCCTCCTCCCTGTCCTCGCTGTTTTGCCACAGACGTTTCGAATTCGTCGGGACCTCTCCTCTGCTCGGGACACTGGGGGGCTCGCTCGGTAGCTCTCTTTCGTTGACATGTTATAACATTACACGCAACGCCTACTCTCCCCGACATCGACTTTCTCGTCCTGTCTTCCTTCGTCTTGTCCTCTAGTGCATCCCACCCCTCCCTCCCACCTTTTATCTCGACATTCCGTCTCATCTCCCATCTAGTCTCCAGCTCATCGGGACCTCCCACCCCCTTCGCTCGACCCACGACGGGGGAAAAGAATTCGAAACGAGACCACCAAAACACACCCGAACCGTGTCCAACCCGTCGAAAAAGAACAAAACCGAATATAAGAAAAAAGAGCTATCGCCATGTCCATCGCCGCGGTAGCTTCCGCCGTCCTGCGCCCCCATGACTGGCCGATGGGCGTCTGGGTCTTGCTCCTGACAGGGCTGGCCTACGCCGTCGGCTCCATCGTCAACCGGCCCTCGTTCCCGAGCAACGCCCCGGGCGTGTTCAAGGGCTACCCCGTAGTTGGATCGCCGCGCTTCTTCTCAGACCGCGGCAACTTCTTGAGCGAGGGCCGCAAGCTCGCCAAGTCGGGCAACTGGAGTTTCTACTTTGGGAAGAAGAGGCTCGTCGGCCTCGGCGGCCTCGAGGGCCGCCGGCTCTTCTTCGAGAGTAGGGACTTGGATTTCGCAAAAGGGTGAGTCTACTTCTTCTTTTCGCTCGTGACTCTTTTGCTTTTCTTTTTTCCTTTTTCTTTCCCCTAAATGCACATACACCGGTTCAGACGGCGGTTGGGTTGTTGTGACGGAACGGGTGACGGAACTTGGAGAAGAACGTCGGGACTTACACGGCCACAGGTACGGCGCCCTCTTCAACGCCACCCCGGAAATCAACCTATCGAGCGGCGAGCGGTCCTCGGAAGACAGCTTCGACGCCAAGTTCAACCGGAACCTCGTCCGGCTCCTGCGCAAGGACGTCTTGACGCAGCGCCTGCATCTCCTCGTGTCGGACGCGCGGAACACGATGGATGGCCTCGAGGCGCGCATTGGCCCGTCGTCCGAGTTCGGCATGAGCGACCCCTTCGAGGATATGTACAGCCTCGTGTTCCAGCTCACGGTTCGAACGGTGGGCTGCGACGAGGTGGCCGAGGATCCGGTCCTCATGCAGCAGGTGCTGCGCATCTTCGAGGGCATCGACGGCGCGGCGACGTCGACCAAGATCATGTTCCCCTGGATGCCGACTGTGGGACACCTCCGGCGCGTCGTCAGCGGCGCCAGGATGTACCGGATCCTCGAGCGCATCATCCAGGAGCGCAAGGCGCGCGGGGTGCCGGGCAACGACGCGTTGCAGTTCCTCATGGACAACGGCGACAGCATCATCGAGATGGTGGCCTTCCTCGTCGGCGCGCTGTTCGCGGGGCTAATCAACACGGGCATAAACGCGTCGTACATGCTGTGCTTCCTCGCCGGGGACCCGCACTGGTACGGCGAGTTCCAGCGCGAGGTTGACGGGGTGATTGCGAGGCGGCGGCAGTCGAAGGAACAGACGGTAGACGAGGTGCTGGCGAGCATGACGATGGAAGATTGGGAGACCGAGTTCCCGCTCATTGACCTCGGGCTCAAGGAGGTGATCCGACACACGCTCACGGGCTGCGGGTTCCGCCAGAACGTGAGCGGCAGGGACTTGCCGATCGGCAAGACGGGCGAGGTGCTGCCGCGGGACGCGTACGCCATCTACCAGTTCGACTCGACGCACATGGACCCCAAATTCTTCGCGGACCCGGGGCGTTGGGACCCGGGGAGGTTCCTCCCCGGCCGGGAGGAGGACAAGAAGGACCCGCACGCCTTCATCGGTTGGGGGACCGGCCGGCACCCGTGTCTGGGCATGAGGGTGAGTCTGCTTTCCCCCCCCCCCCCGTCTTGTGTTTTGTCTCTTTACTTCTCCCTGTTTCTTTTCGTGTAATTGCATTGCTGACACGCCCCGGGTGGGGATCAAAAACAGTTCGCCAAGCTCGAGATGGCCGTCGTGACGGCCATGTTCCTCGCGCGGTTCGACTTCTACCTCGTCGACGCCAACGGCAACAAGATGGACAGGGTTCCGGAGGACTCGGTCGACCGGAATAAGCACTCGGCGTCGAAGCCGAGAGAGAAGCTCTTTCTAAAGTTCAAGCCCCGGACGTGAGATGGGAGGCGACGGGCAGCTGGTGATGGATAGGTGGTGATGGGTAGGGGGGCATCGGGTTTCAGCGAAGAAAAGAATAAATAAGTTGCATTATAAATGTCTAAAAATGAATTTGCTCTAGCTGTCTGAATGTTTGTTTTGCGGATGACATGGATGAATTTGATTTGGTGCTCTCATTCCGTAGACGTTTGCGCTGCCGTCCTCGCTTGCAATGCTTCATCTGGGAATCACAAGCCATTGGATGTCGATGGGGGTGGGGTTCTGTTGATGTTTTTTCCCGTCATGTTTTTTACAGTTCAGCCCTGTATCACTTATAGGTTTCCCTTTCAGCACTAACAACTCGGATGCGCCCGTCGGCGAAAGATTGGCCAACGCCGACTCGGACGGGAATCACGACTCATTGACAGAAGCAGCCCCGAACCCTAGACGGGACCTTGGACCCCCGAAGAGCCCCATCCATGACTGCCGACCGCCGAAGCGGATCGCCCACACCAATACCGGAGGGATGGGGGAGGCGCTGCGTATTAGTTGGTGCATTGATCGTGGGGAGGCGTAGTGCAGGACATGCGACGTCGCTTCATCCCATCCGCTCTCGGCCCTTCTCTCACACTCTAAATACCGGGAACCTTGGTAGTCTCGGTCCGTCGGCTGCTGTTTTCTTCCCAACTGACAAACATCTCCCCCCCCCTCTCGCGGTTCATCGTCGCCTTTTTTCTGACGAGGGCGACTGCTCTAGAGCACGAATCACGTTTACTTCCTCCGCGCCCGCCTGCGGTGCGGGGTTGATTGGATCGGCGACCCCACATCCTACTTCGGCTCTCCCCCCCCCCCCCTCTCTCTCTCTGTGCGTCAGCAAGGATATCTCGTTTGCGAGAACATCTCACCCAGACCAGCGATCCCATCCCGTCTCACGCGCATACAGACAAACAACCCCTGGCAATTTTGGCTACATTGATTAACCCCATTCTACCCGAGCCAACTACGACCTCATCCTTGACAACCCCCGGACTGCAGAAGCAGCAGAAGCAGCAGCAGCGGCGGCGGCGGCGACAGCAGCCATGCTGCACCACCCGGCGCCCACGGAGTGCGAGCTCGTCCAGCCCGCCCCGCCGTGGGGCCAGACGCGGACGCCGCTCTTCCTCGTCCACGACGGCGGCGGCACGACGTTCGCGTACCACTGCCTCGGCTCCCTCGGCCGGGCCGTCTTCGGCATCGCGAACCCGCGCTTCGAGTCGGGCGTGCCCTGGGACGGCGGCCTGCCCGAGATGGCCGCGGCGTACCTGCGCATGATCCGGGCCACCGTGGCCAAGGGCCGGGATTACCCCGCGCAGGCGCCGCGGTCGCCCCCGCTCCCCGCGGGCAGGGGAGGAGGAGGCGGCGGCGGGGGCGGCAAGCCCCGCAGGAGGATCCTGCTGGGGGGCTGGAGCCTCGGCGGCATGCTCTCGCTGGAGATTGCGCGGCAGCTCGGCGACGAGGACGAGGACATTGAGATCGTCGGGCTGGTCATCGTCGACAGCGTGTACCCCGTGTGGCCCGAGGGGCTGCGGGTCAAGATCGGGCGGCTGGTCGAGGGGCCGGAGCCCGAGACGAAGAACCTGCGGCTGGCGCGGCGGGCGATGCGGATGGCGGGCGGGATGGTGCGGGCGTGGAGGATTCCCCGGTGCGGGGCAGGGGCGGGGACGGGAGCGGAGGAGGAGGGGGTCGTGACGGTGCCCAGGATGGCGGCGGGCGGGGGCGCGGGCGGGGGCGGCGAGGACGAGCCCGACGCGGACGTCGTCGATGGCCAGGACGTGGAGAGGGACTTTTACGGCAGCAAGCGCGAGAAGGAGACGGCGGAGGTGGTGTGGGAGAGGCCGCCGCGGGCGGTGCTGGTCAAGGCCAAGGAGCACTTGCCGTCGTCGACGGCCGGGGCCATCAGCTCGGTGGACGTGTACCGCGAGGACGACAAGCTGGGATGGGACGCGTACTGCCCCGGCTTCGTCGAGAGGGTTCTGGCGACGGAGGGGCACCACTTTGACATGTTTGCGTGGCACTACATTGACGGGATCACGGAGAAGATCGCCGAGGCTTGCCGGATCCTGGAGAGGGCTGGTTGACGGGAGGGGGAGTGTGTTTCCACGCGGGCGTAAGGAGGCGACGAGGAGCGATTTGGGCTCGGGGATTTAGAGGCTAGAGGACTTTGGATCACAGAGTACGCGACTACTAAAACATACAATAGACGGGCAATAAACAGGCCCACTCGTTCGTCCCTTTCCAAGTGGTTTGTTTACGTCCTCCGGAGATCGCAACTCGCAGCTATTAATTACATCACAGCTCGACGGCCCTGCCACGGGTCCAGTGAGTGCAGTGCCATTACCACGGCTGGAGCCATCCATACATACGTATATACATACCACCCGCAAGCAGTGACGCCAAGACACAAAAGAAACGACATCAACATCCCACTCACTCCGCGATGGGTGCAACAAAAAAAGGAAGAGGCTGCAACCGCCGGGGTTCGAACCCAGGTCCCCAGCTGGTTCCCTGCATGGGAGGCTGGAATGCTAAACCACTGCACCACGGTTGCCCTTTTTTCTTGGTTTGCATCGAGAGTTGTTTGGAGGCGACGGCGAAGAGGTTGAACAAGGGAAGGAAAGGGGGAGGATTCCGGGAAAGGGCGGCCGTTTGCTTGTTGCAGAGCGAGGCAGGAAGGTGCGGTGCGGTGCAGGGTGGAGATGCAGGTGCAGCTCGCTCCTTCCTGTTTGCTTTCGCTTCCTTCTCCCCACCTCCACCACGCGGGCAGACGCGCCCGAGACCCACGCGGAGCTCAACCTCCCATTCGCGCGCCGTCTTTCTCCGGCTTGCTCCCGGGAAGGCTCGGCGACGGAAGGCTGCAGAACGAGGCCCCGGTTTGTTTGCTTCAAAGAAAAACGGGTCCCGGCGAGCTTGGCCGCGCCAAGTGACAGTCGAGCTCCTCTCCCATCCCTCGCCCTAGCCGTTCTTCCTCGGGGCGGGGGAGAAAGAAAAAACCAAAACTCCCCCGCTATGATATGCCATGGCTGGCCCTCCGCGACCGGTTCCTCAGCTCGACACCTCCGCAGGCAAGACGACGACCCTCTCCTTTTCCACGACGACGACGACAGGCGGCCCCCCGGTCGTCTGAGACCCGCCGCCCCTCACCCACGCCTCCAGCGGCGTCGTCAACACCGTGCGGGCCGCCCCGAACGCGTGCGCCGCGACGTACGCCGTCAGCAGCCCGGACGCCGCCCAGAGCGCCGCGAACGCCTGGAACACGACCCACGGGTTCCCCTTGAGGTAGTCCCCGACCCCCGCCACGCCCGCCTGCTCCTCGAACCGCGCCAGCGCCGTCGTCATGTTCTGGCGCGCGCCCTCGTCGGCGTCGTCGAAGATGCCCCTTTCCTGCCGGCCCGTCGTCTCGCCGCCGCCACCCTTGCCCGCGGCGTCGACCGTGGCGGCGAAGGCCATGAAGCCGCCCATCAGCACCACGAGGAAGAGCGCGAAGACGACGCGCGCGAGGTGCAGGAGCCACGTCACCGAGAAGACTAGGAGGACAAGCGCGCCGTGCGGGGAGCCTTGGCCCGCCGTCGCGAGCCAGGTTGCGAGGTTGCCGCTGCCGCTGCTGCCGCTGCTGCTGCCTGGCGGTCGGGCTTCGAGTCCGGGAGTCTGTCTAGAGACGACGACGACGAGCTTCGCGACGAGAAACGTCAGCAGGGACGGCAGGGCGATGAGCTGGAGGAGGCCCGGGTTCGCGTCGACGGCCGTGAGGCCGACGCCCGCCAGCACGATGAGGCTCCAGGCGCCTAAGAAGGAGACGGCGAGGATGGTGTAGAGGCCCGACGCGGCTCGGCGGAAGATGCTGGCCATGGTCGAGGGCGGCGGGGTGCTTAGAGGGGGGGGGGGTTAATCTACACGGTTGCGGTGGGTGGGTTTGCGGCTGCGTGCTTTGCTCTCACAACAGGGGCCACTCTGGCTGGAAACCGCCCAGGAACTGGAACTGTTTGTATGTCAACTAAGAAGCCGTCGTATTGATCGCTCACCGACTCCTTCGCGTACCGAGGCCGATGATGCAGTTGGCTCGCCAGGCTGTCACGCTTACTTCGCGATGCGGCTTGAAGTAAGACGGTATCGGAGATGGGGCAAAAAAAAGGGGTCCACCAGCTTTGTGTTGCATGGATACCGGATACTGTCGTCGGGTGCCTAAAGAGGATTAGCGCGGGTAAGGTAGGCCCAACTCTGTCGTGACCACCTCACTACCTTTGATGCTTTCTGTCTGCAGAAGGACAGGAATGAAAGGCTCACTACGCCGACAAGTTTTCACAACTATGGATTATGCTCAGTGATAGTTCTGTTGAATCGAGATCAAGCACCTAACAATCCATCATCACGGTAGCAATCTCATCTCATAAACCGCCTTCAAGTGCGCAGGGGAGAAATCCTATCCCGGGTATCCTCTTCCACAACAGGGATAGGGTACTGAAACATTTGTCACAAATTTCATGCCATTGGTGTCTACGTAGCTCTTATGCTTCGAACTGGAAGTCAATTTCGACGCCAAAGCATACACGGGAGCCTCAGGTAGCTTCATGCCTGGCCCCTGAAGAGGAGTGTTCATTTGCGTGATAACTTGAGCCAGGAAATCGTAGCAGTAGGTTTCAGGCTTTGTCGTTGACAAGCCTATGGTTATTGCAAGAAAACTTCGCGCAGTGGATCATAGTGCTCAGCTACACGAGGCGAATTTCGTCTACCTAGCAAAGCCCCCCCCCCCAATGTACGAGGTGAAGGCTGTGATCTTGAAGGCAAAAACACACAACTGAACTCATATGAATGGTGAGGCTGGCTGTCAAGGCCAGGATGGCGGGTGGTTTCTGAAGGATGGCCATTCCAATGTAGCTGTGACGCCTGGGTATTGGCTGACAGTTGTTGATAGCCTTATCTCTGAAGATTATTACTTCATACTCTGCGCCAACCTAGCATCCTGAAAAGAAAGGAGAAATAACACAAGAAAAGAAGCAAAATTCGACTCATTTCAGCCCAATGTTACCCTTCCGTCCAGGAGTAGTTCAACCCATCATCGCAGAGGGCATCATGAGGTAGGACATATATATGCCCTGTTTTTAAGATTTGATTAACCCATCTTGTATATTCCAACCAACCGAAAAAGAAGGCCGAGCTTTCAGTTCCCATGCATCAAAAGAATTCGAATAGGCGTGAATGTATTGGATTTTAACTGGCCTCAAGTGATCGTTAGTACTGATATGCTCTGGGCAGGGATGTGGCCTTGGATGGATTTGTGGAACAGGTCAAGCTCCGAAGAACCGTCCGTCTAGACCCGCCAATTGCCCAAACAAGCAAAAAGTGTGTCTGCAGCAAAACCAAGACCCGCAACGGGACGCGCGGCCTCCGAGAACACCGCAAGAAAGGAAAATAACAGTAAAAAACGATAAAAAAGAATTAAAAAACGCACCATGTCCTGATGCTTCCTAGTTGAGCGAAGAGCGCAGAGCCGGCAAGTTGCTGATATTTCGGGGCCCGACCTCCTCTCTTCCGACAATCATTTCGATCTTTTCTCTCTTCCCAGGAATTAGAACGGCTCCCGAGTCACCCGAGCGTGCTCCCACGATCTGTATTCCCCATACCACAATTCACGCTGCAGACACCGCCTAACGAAGATGGACGATGGCCACCTGGATGGGAGCGGCCACGAGGACGCTATTGATGATGGGCATGAAGAGGCGCCCGAATCATCCTCGGCGAACCCCCAAACAATCATTCGCAGAGCTGTAAGCAGCGCTTCTAATTCTGTGTGTCTTTTATATAATAAAAAACTCACTAATGCGAACTATTAGTGTGACGCATGTCGTGCTCGAAAGGTATTGCCACCCTGTGCTAGAGGCGGTGTCAGTGCCACTGACTGGTTTCAAGATCCGCTGCAACAGAGAATTGCCCTGCTCTTACTGCACACACGCCAAGATAGAATGCACCCATGCGGACAACAAACCCAAAGAAAAGCGGACGAGAATCCTCATCACCCCTCAATAGTAAGTCATTCTGTTCTGTGTCTGGCGTTTGGAATCTTTCGATGACACACCGGCTTGAGACCGAGGCTGTGAAGCTGTACCGCAATTCATCTCCTATCAGCTAACATGGATCTTGAAGTGAAAGAAAGATTGATCAAATCGACCGCCGGTTGGAAACGGTCATCCGGCTCTTGCAAGATATGAAGGTGCACCCGGCCTCTAGTACTGGACGGGTGGAAAGCAGCAGCTTCACAGCGACGGTCCCTCGAGCCGAACGTGCCGCATCATCTGCTCATATGCAGTCATCCACATCAACACCCGCCACATTGGTCAGTCATGCCCACCATTCAGATGAGGAGGACGGCGCCGTCGTCGAGGGCGACTCTTCCCTCGCCGCACACTCCGTATTCGCTACGGAATTCGTGCAGAAGGTCGTCAGCACCGAGTCCCTCCAGGACTCGAGTCTGGACTTGGGCGAGACTCTCGACGCGCTGTCCCAAATCGTCCACGCGTTGAAGCAGCCTGCCGCTGCGGCAGAGATGACGTACCCCCACGCAAAGCCAGTCAACCGGCCTCGTATTCAGGGCCTTGAGATGCCGCCCATAGAGAAAGCGGTGGGCACGATTCGAGTTGCCAAAGGTAAACAGTCCTCCTTCCATCCCATATCCTCACCCCCCCCCCATGTTGTCTTTGCTAAGCGAAGTTTCGATTTGCAGGTCAAAGCCTCTCGGGGATGGCCTGGATCTACGACTTCCTGCCCTCTCGACGTTTCCCGGATCTCTGCCTGGATGTGTACTTTTCGGATACCTACTCAGACTACGATTTCATTACGGTCAACGGCGGCCTCTACTCACTCTTCACAGATTACGCAGCACAGATCCCGGTTGAGGAAAGGAAGGAGTATATGGAATACGCAAAGTGAGCAAGCTGAACCGGACAACCGTAGACGTGCATATCTAACACCATTAGGATATGCCGAGTAAATCTGGAGACCTTCCTGCTCAATCTGCCGCTTCATCTGCCAGCGTCTTCTGACGTGATCGTTGCACTTCTCTTCGGCGTAAGTACGGTTCTTTTCAGGCTCACTGCTTGATTGACTATGCGAGTGTGAAATAAGCTGACTATCGTCAAGACGTTCCACGCCGTCGAGATATCGAAACCTTCACTGGCTTGGACGTTGGTGTCAAAAGCGTCTGAGCTGTGCCAAACCCTTGGTTATCATCGGATCGAATCCCTGAAGAGCTCCAAGAACGACGTCAAACCAACGGTACACGGGATGCACTGGCACCAGTTCATCTTCTGGAACGTGTACTACATCGAAAAGAGCCTTTCACTGCGACTCGGGCGAGCGTCGACGATTCCGGATTGGCACATCACCATGCCCCTACCTACCGTGAAGGAACAGATGGCCAGCCCGATCCTGCCGTACCTCGTGCTGTGGATCAAGACCGCAAAGTGTCAGGGCCAGATCTACGAGAAGCTCTACAGCCCCGACTCCATCAAGCAACCATACCACGTCCGGCAAACGAGGATTCATGAGCTGGTCTCG